GTCAATATCGTGACTCCAAAATCAACGCAATTTCTTTTGCTTTTCTATTGGTGCTTGATAAAGCTTATCAACATGTTTTATCGTAAAATGGATATGACCAATCATTTTTCACATTTCTCATCTCTCTTCCACTTCTAATGATGAGATTAAATATTTATGGTGGATAAACTTGAGGACCACGATAGCTATTCATGCCAATATATCTCTTCGATTTTTTTTTTTAATATTGTTGTTTTCACTTTCAAAGAATAACAACAGTTGAACGAGCTTTGTATCATTTCAATTTTAGCTCACATCTCTTGCTCTATTACAATATGCAATCAAATTTCTTGATTTTGCTATTATAAGTGCAACTTGAGTTTTTATGTTGCCACTTCATGATCATAATATAGATCCAAAATATTGCTACTGCGGTAGCATTTCAATTCACAAACTTAGAGAGTTTTCTCTCTTATATATCTCCACAAGTAACTTTATTTTATGTTACTTTTACAAGACACATAACAAAATATTTACTCGTTTCTTGAAAATGAAACAATAATTTTGCTCGGTGTCTTCTAGACACATTTTCGTTATGAAATATTTGGCTTGTATTTCCAATACACATATATGGATCTTCAACCTCAATGATCCATAACTTATAGTTACATTTGTTCTTGAACTATCGAATATATAATTTCAAATTGCGTGATATGACTCATATCATTGAATCACAAATGAATAGTCTTTTCGAGTACGTATATATATATATATATATATATATATATATATATATATATATATATATATATATATATATATATATATATATATATATATATATATATATATATATATAATCTCAAGTTTTGAGTTTTATTGCTAAAAATTATGTACTCGATTTGAGCCTGGATGCTTCATATAAATCATTATAGTACTTGATATGAAATAATAGTACTATAATTAACTCAAATTTTCAGATAGATCATTGAACCAGAAACTGAATAGTTCTTTCGAGTACAATATATTATTCAAATATCAAGGATTGAGTTTTATACCTTGAATTTATATACTCGATTTAGGCCTCAAGCCTTTATATTTGGTACTTAATAGTAAAATAATGGTACCTTGAGCGGAAAATACCTATTAACTCAAATATTCAATTTTGAGTATCATCACTTAATTAGACCTTGAGTCTAAAGTATTCAATCGAGATATCTAGTCTTCAAATTTAATCTAGGCCTCAAGCCTTTATATTTAATATTCCTCCATATAAGCTTTAAAGCTTTCATATTTAAACTAGGCATCGAGCCTAAAATTTATGAACTTCGAGTTGTTTTTCGATTGATGGAGCTTTTCAAGTTGCATAAACTAGAGAGAAAGTGGTTTTTTTTTTTTTTTTTTTTTTTTTTTTTTTATAATATACCACTCAAATCTTCGAGACACTTCATTGCACAAGCTCGATTCGGGCTTCAAGCCTCAATATATAATAAAATTGTTATAGTACATTGATCATGAAAGAATAGTACTATAAATAGGGAATACCCTCTAACTCAAATGTTCAAGAGTCTTATCATTTGGACTTAAAGTCTAATATACTCAATCGAGATTTTTAATCTCGTATCTAATCAAGGCTTTATGCCTTTAATCGTCCCTTTTGTTTTTAGAACATCATGTTCAAAATTCGCACAAGGGACAGCTCTGGCAGAGTTGAGTATTGTAAGCATATCTCTCTCGATCGAGATCCGATTTTGATGATTCAAAATGTTCCGAAAAGCTTAAAGAAAATTCTACAATTTTCGTATTTTGAATTTTCTGTAATTCGGACAGTATCAGGTCCAAAACAGACATCGAAGTACAGACTCGTGAATTGCACGAAAATTCACCTACAACAAAATTAAGATGATTAATATTTAATCAATTTAAAACAACAATAAAATATTTGAAATCAACTCCCTTTTCATCTTCTATGGTTGAGAAGAAACTATCTTCTTTGGATCATCTTTACTCGAAAATGAAAATAGAACAATCGTGCTGATAACGTGTTGAGAAACTAACAAAGGATATACAAGAAGAAGAGAACAAATTAGAGAGAATATGTAATATGCTATTTCATCTCTTCAAGTATACAAAATACAATACATGATGCTCTATATATATCACTAGAAAAATCTCTCAAAGGTCATGAGTTACAAAACCTTAATGATGAATAATGGTGGAGGTAATGTGGGTTTAATGGAGAGTGTAATGGTGGTCATCCATAGTAAAGATGGTCCACTTTAAGAGAGCAAGTGTTTATGCATTATATTCTTATTCAAGTGTGTCTCAACTCCATACAATGGGGTCCTTTTTATAGTACAATAAATCCATTCAAAAGGTCACGAGTTACAAGAGAATGAATGGCCTTAACACCCACCATTATCACCTCTAATTCCACACACTAATGATTTTGTAACTCCTATAGACATCCATCATAGGTTACATAATACTCCACCTTGGATGTCTATGACTATTGAGTGTGTGATACACTGCCTCGTTAAAACCTTGACAAGAAAAACCCATTGGGATAAAAACTTGGTCGAAGGAAAAAGAGTACAGTGTTGGGTTATTAATCACACTCCCCGTGACGCTGGCAATAGATCGTTAAGCCAACGCATTCCAATGTTGTAGATCATCTTCTTGAATTTTGAAGCCGGCAAAGCTTTAGTGAATAAATCAGTGAGGTTATTACTTGATTGAATCTGACGAACTTCTATTTCACCATTTTTTTGTAGTTCATGGGTATAGAAGAACTTTGATGATATGTGTTTTGTTTGATCTCCTTTAATATAACCATTCTTGATTTGAGCAATACAAGCCGCGTTGTCTTCATACAATAAAGTTGGTGAATTCGTCAATGAAGATAATCCACACGTCTCTCGAATATGATGAACCATAGATCACAGCCATATGCATTCACGACTTGCTTCATGTAGTGCCAAAATTTCAGAATGATTAGATGAAGTGGCTGCTAATGTTTGCTTCACTGAACGCCATGATATAGCAGCACCGCCGCAAGTAAATACATATCCACTTTGAGATCTACCTTTATGTGGATCCGAAAGATAACCTGCATCAGCAAAACCCACTACATGCGATTCTGAACCTTTTGAGTAAAATAAGCCCATATTTGTTGTTCCTCGAAGGTACCGAAAAATATGCTTTACACCATTCCAATGTCTTCGTGTTGGTGAAGAGTTGTACCTTGCCAATAAGTTAACAGAAAATGCTATATCGGGCCTTGTGCAATTAGCAAGATACATTAATGCACCGATAGCACTTAGATAAGGTACTTCCGGTCCTAATAATTCCTCATTTTCTTCTCGAGGACGACATGGATCTTTCTTTACATCCAATGACCGGACAACCATAGGGCTACTTAATGGATGAGCTTTATCCACATAAAATCGTTTGAGAATCTTTTCTGTATACGTTGATTGATGTATAAAGATTCCATTCAACAAATGCTCAATCTGTAGATCGAGACAAAATTTTGGTTGTCCAAGGTTTTTCATTTCAAATTCTTTCATCAAATAATTTATGATCTTTGTGAGCTCTTCATGAGTCTCCATAAGATTTAATTTGCCCCAAATGATAATGGAAATCAATTTATTTGATTATTCCTTTTGTAAACAAGGTATATACTAAGGTGACAATACCATATTCTTGAATATGTAAATGGATCATTCGTAGAGTCTAACTCATGAGACCTCTTATTATATGCTTCAAGCATTTTCAATTCTTTGTAATAAAAAGTTATGATCCATATAAGTATGATAAACGGTTATTCTTCCATATGGTGCATGTCAAATAATTTTGAATACCACAAATTGATTGCATCAAAAATATATTTTTCAAAAGGTATTCAAACGTACTGCAATAATTTTACCCACTTTTGCACTAAAGGCTTTCACAACTTTATATGTGATGACCGCAAGTCAATGTACAATTCATTTCATCAATAATTTCAAATAATTATGGTCAATTGCATTTGTGAGTGCATATACTAATGACCAATTAGATGTCGACATCTATTAAGATTTATGAGCTTCAAGCTCTCACATTATAGAAATAATTGTACATATAGTTATTCGATAACATCTTTAGTACTCCCCATATTTCTTTATAGTCAATCAAGAGCTCAGTATTTCACTTTCCGGTACCTGATTCTCCTTAGAGAATTATATTGTCATAAATGGGGATTGTAGCCTTTGTGGGTACGATCTCTTGTAGAGATCCATATCTTTTCATGTACCATGTATTTTTCTCTTATAGAGAATTTTCTTGCATCAATCATCAATAAAGTTTTTCATAATACTTTATGTGCTTGAGCTCATTATTTATTTCAATAAAAATGTCATACATGGACAAAATGCGCGCTTTTGAGTTTCACAATGTGGAGGGAGTATTCACTACTAGAAAATTGCCATTTAGCAACGGACGAATCTGTCGCAAATTGGCCAAAATCTGTCGCTATTGAGTATTTAGCAACAAAAATGGTTCGTTGCTAAATAAATCGCTAAAAGGCGCGTCGCTAAAATTTGCTACGAATATATACTATCCGTTGCTACATTTAGAGACGGAATAATCCGTCAATAATGACGTCGTTAAATCCGATCCACAAACGCAATATATTGCGTCGCTAAATCCATTAATCCGTCGCTAGTTGAAACAAATATTCTTATTAGAAAGAGATGTATCCTTTACTAAATCCGTTACAAAACTCTGTCAAAACAAATAAAAAAAATATTTTTTAAATACACCAATACCATATATGGTATTGATGTATTTAAAAAATATATAAATATATATAATAATATTAATTGATCATATACAAATTCAACCATTATTGTCTTAAATTTTCGTTAAAATCATAGTAACAAATCAAAAAGATAAACATAGTCAAAACTAGTAATTTCAATCCTATTCTTCATTACATCTTCTCTCGTCATCTATTCTTCATTCTGGCATGTTCATGTCCATTTCCATCAACTTGTATATCTCAAACATGCCATTCAAATAGTATCAGTGTCTTATATTTAGCCTGCTATAACAGAAAAATGTAGTAAATATATACCTCCACAAAATTCAAATCTTATAAAATGAATGAGTTGACAAAGACGAATATTATTTGTAAAAGTTAAAAAAATGTCATTGATGCTCCTAAAATTATGCAAATCATTTTTTACTAGCTAGATAGGGGAGAGAATACATAAGAACAAAGATAGAGTCACTTAGGAGAAACCACAAACAAAAAAAAAAATTGAAGTGCTAATGCATGTGGTTTTTTAAGATATACCTGAAGTATCTTCTTAACACAGTAGGATGCATGCCAAGATACAATCAACTTCTTCAACCTTCAAGTTTTTTCAGTGGGGATCACTATTTCAAATCCCAAATTTTGCTTACTTGAATACCAAAAAAATAAAAAATAAATAATTAATTGTAAATTACTTTAATACCCTTAATGAAATTAAAACCAAAAAAATATTACAAATATTATTTTTCTTTCTTAAATACCAAATAATCAAAAACTCAAAAAAATCATTTCCCTCCTCCACCTCCTTCTTCTCCCTTCCCAAAAACCCTTCTAAAAAATCTTCCTCACAACAAACCCTTCTAAAAAATCTCAAAACTAAAGAAATTAAAACCTCACAAAACGTATAAAATTGAGTTATAAGACAATAATATGGTAGTATATATGAAAGGAGAACACATTAAGGTAAGTATCGATGTCTTTTTTGAGCTTCGAAGTCGATTTTGAAGTTTTTTTTTTTGAAACCGCGCGCGGCAATTTTCGACACATACA